GCTAGGGAAAGCTGCGATCAATTATATCTACGCCTATGTTACGATAAACTTTTGAACTTTCCTAGAGATCGGGACAGCAGTTTTCTATTTGCCGATATTTCAGCCACGATAAAGAGACCGGGGCAAGGTCTGGACTGGCCGAGTCGATAAAGGAATCTATTACCGCAGAAAGGCTACGCAGACCACCGAATTTTTCAGCTTCCTTCGAGATTACAATATAGTGTTTCTTTATCTGACGGCAAAACCGCTTCTCTCGGGGGCTTCTGCTTGCCTTTCCGCGGAGATTTGTGACCCTCCCTGTATGGGACTCCTCTGTTGGAAGCAACATCGCTGACGCTGACTCCTTGCGTGTTAATATTAATTAACCCTGGCTGACATCCTTGTCCGTCCTCGATTTATATCGTTACTTTCCAAAAGAAATGGCTGCTTTTCAAATAAGTTGGCCAGCCTCGCTGGTTGCATATTACATTTGCCATTTTAAATTGAAGGGGTTGCATTTGAACCTGAAGAAGGAAAATTATTTTTTTTTCTGAAAAAATCAAGCAGTAAATAAAAAATCTCTTTTAAGTCTTTTATTTTACACATTTTAAGGTGTATAAAAATATTTCTTCATTTTCATTATTCAATAAAATGGCGGAGCTACAGCTGCCTCAAGATGGATGCTCATTGAAAGAGGGTCCTAATCTTGAGGCAGCTGTATCTCCACCATTTTGTTGAATAATGAAAATCCAAAAATACTGTCTTATACCTTAAGATATATGTAATAAAATGTATATAATGAATTTTTTATTTATTTCATGATTTTTGTCGAAAAAAATTAAATTGGATAGGTTTGATTTTTCGGGTTCGAAAGTGGTGTAAACCTTTAAAAATGAGCATGGAGAGATTTTAGTCGCGTGTACACGATACAGGGGAAGAAGATACGATCAGAAGTGGAAAAGGCTTTCGCTCAAATTAGATCCGGGAGTTCCGGACTGTCGGCGGTACGCCGATTTCCTCACAATTTATACGTGCTAGTATTTTTGCGCAATTTGTGCCGGTTATGAGGACATGGAAGCGCGATGGTTCCACCGTGAAAAATATAGCTCGAATTTATCGCGGAGACCTCCATCCACTTCTCTTTTCCTTCCTTCCTTCCTTCCTCTCCATCACCGACAGAATATCCATTATTCGTCACTGTCCATGGGTCTCCAAGTGACTGACCCTTCCATGAAATTACGAACGGTTCTTTTCAAAAGCGTCTCCGTTTTCTAATTGATTCCATGAAAAAACTCTTACCCTTTCAATTTGTCCCTGAGAAATTCCTTAAGGAAACACTGTCACTTTATGCCATATTTATTATTTGAAATTAAATTGTTGGTATTAAAAATTTTTAATTTTACACGAGTCAATTAAATTTTAATAACAATTAAAATATGCATTATTACATTTTAAGATTTTCTCAATTAGAAGTAGAATAATTGACTCACTTTGAATAACAAAACAATTCTGCTGTATTTCCTGAAATTATTTTGAACAATAGATGATAGGCGTGTGGAATACGTGGTTTTTAGTTATCCATAAACCACGACATTAGTGTCTACTTCCTCCCCATACAGAAGAATTTTAACAGGACGAAGCAGACTGTGACAAGACAAAAACCACATCCGGCGTAATAAAAATAAGTCTCTGCTTCCTTCCGTTCGTGGTGTGCCGCGATTCAAATGGATTTTTGTAATCAAAGTGTCCTAATTTTTCTTTTTTTAATTTTGCATTGATTAGATTAAACAGTTGGATGTAACACAGAAGATATAGTAGAGTAATTGTAATTATGAAATTTAATGAGGAATGGTTAATATTGGGAAATTTTTGTTCATGACATTTTTACCCCTTTTTTGGTCAAAAAAATATCTACTGGTAAATATTTAAAAAAGCTGACATGAAAATTTTGAAAATTAAAATATTACAGATTCAAATATTCAAACGTTGAAATATTATAAATAAAAGTATTGAAATGTGAAAATATTAGAGATTAAAATATTAAAATATTAAAATTTGGGAAATTGAAATATTCCAACGTGAAAGTATTAAAAATTAAAATAATAAAACAGTAAGTAGGTATTTATTGTCTTTATCCCTTCAAAATTGTTACTGTTTTATTCTTATTGAAAAAGCATAGTAATTTCCTATTGAATCCCATAAATTTTTCCTGTAGACTAAAAACGTGACACGATTACGAGGAGGAATCGTGTAGGTAGAGATGTTCGAAGCTCGTAGCATGATTTAAAAATGAATTCGATGACAGTGAATCGATCGTTGGGTGCCTCGTCTCCCTGTTCACGTGCAAATGAAAAATTAAAACGTTCGTGTCAGATTTGACTAACGATCGTGGTTTATTATTCAAATTGGAGCATGTCTTGGCTGTTGTCATTGCGGATTCTCTCTGGCGAATCGCGCCAAAAAAGGGCGAACAACGTCCGGCTAGTAAATAATAAAAACGAGTGATTCAAAGAAGAAAATTAAGTTCACTGCTTATAAATTTTAAATAAATGACAACAGTCAGGTCTTTGTTCTAATTAAAACTAGGTCAATTTAGTATTAACCCTTTCCATTCAACTGTGAAAAATAAGAACTGTGTATCTTTGATAATTTTTTTTAGAGATACTGTTTCCTAAATCAAAAATCTGTCATGGCATTTTTATTGTGCAGGTCTTAAGCTGTACGAAAATAATTTTTGATTTTCATTATTCGATAAAATAGCGTCGCAGCACTTGCCTCACTAATTTTTTGTGACTTGCCTCTCAGACTTTCGAACTCTCTTATCTTAGTCCTGAAGATAGTGGATGTTCTATAGCAAGACTGGTATATACCCCATAAATTGTCCGTTATACAGTCTATTCGAGACTAAGATAACCACTTCAGCTTCCATACTCCACTGGCCATCTTCATGTTCTCGAGGCCTTTATAGGACTTTGACGAAAGTGCCAGGGTTTATTGGTGGCCAATTCAAAACACGAAGTTCCATTTCTTCGATAATAAGTTTCTCAAACAAAGTTTCAATAATACCTTATTACTATCAATAATACGTTTATGAAAACTATTTCAAAATATTTAAAAATTTCAATTATTACTAGTAAATTTGACAATGGAAATAGAAGGGCTAGAAGCCTGGAATTCCTTTCCCTCTTATCTCGTCCCATCGAAACGCGAATGGTCGAGTGGATTTAAAAATCGGAATGACGGCGCCAAAAATGTCTTCATCCACGAAGTGTACCGTCGATAAAGGAGGGGAAATGATAGGGTTGTAAAGTCCTCTTGTATAGCTACGACTGAATAGCTGGATCGCCATCGTGAACCCTACGGGGCTCTGTCACGAGGCAAAAGGAATCGTCTATGCGAATCGATCGTAAAAGCATCCTCATCAGTAATCACGATACCTCCTTGTCGATAAGTACTTCGTGCTGACTGCTGCTTCGACGTGTCTCCGATCAAACTATCGGTCAACTATTAAGGATACCGTCCGCAATAAAAGGCGGGAAACGCTATGGTGATAGTCGAAATAATGAGCTGCATCGCTTGCAGATTTATAACAACTTAAATCGTGACTGGAGGTGATCTACTGATCTTTCAGATCATTGAAGGGTCAATCGTGACCGAAATTTACAAAACGTATGCAAAGATACTAATCTAAAGATAAATATATAATTAAAAAAAAAAAAGGATTTCATATATTAGAAGAATAATCTTTAAAGGAACAGTGTAAAATTTAGAAAATTGGGGCCTCTCTCCATGGTCCGTCGTCGGAAGAAAATTTTCTTCCATTTTTTGATGACTCGAAGGACGACTGGAATCCCTTTAAAAATCAACATTTCCCATGCAAATAGTGTTCGTCGAACAGATTCTTGTAATGTTAAAAGTTGCTAAGGAACTGCCACGATCGCGAAGCATCAATTTCGAAAAAGTAATTCTTATTTGCCGCGGTATCGCGTGCTCTTTGCCTAAAAGCTCTCCGCGTTGGTTCTATATATGGGAACGGGACGAAGACGAAAGGAAATTGTTATCGCTTCACGACGGCACTTTCATATTAGGGTAGAAGCTTTTCGAAATTTTTGGGAGGAAGGACCCAAGCGACGTAGCCGATTCAATTTGCCTAATGAACAAGCCAGGGAGGAAACGTCTCTCTGTCTACGTAGCTACGATAAAACGCAGCTCTCTCTCATCATTCACTCTTCGAATCGATTTTGTACATGGTATAAAACGGCTCTGACAATGCAATCGCTTGTGTAGATTCCACAGGCCCCCCTCCACCCTCCCACGCGTTACACGCGAAATGTAAGATAGTAAAAAGGAACACTGGTATAGAGGTATCGATAGCGACGAGACGGCGAAGCGATCGTTGCCGAGGGGTGCTCGTAAATTTTGGAGAAATTGAAATTATAAGGTTGCGGTTTCGAAGGATTTGAGGAATTACACTGTTTCTTTAAAAATTATTATTCAAATTTGGATTAATCATTTGGGGTGACGATTGACTCAGACTCCACTGTTCAAGGGTTAATTGGTTGTTATAAAAAATGATAACATCATCATCAAAAATAAGAATTTTTTTATTTCTTCAGTGAAGTGTTCTTCAATGCTGATTCGTATGACGTCGATATTGTCACAGTTTTTACTACTTAGAAAGCGTTGCAGTGAAAGATATCAATAATAGGCGACACAGCATGTTCCTTACAATCCTTAGATTCTTTTCTATTTGAAATTCATATAGGAAATACTACTTCCAAAATTCTGTGCATATTTTAAAAATGTATGGCCTTAACAGCATATTTATACATTTTTATTTTTTTTAAATTCAATAAAATAACTTCTTCACGATTGAAAAACTTGTTGCTTGCAGACTATAGTATTTGCCAAAAATTAAAAATTTTATTCTTAGCCAAATAAAATTGGCAAACGTTGCCCCAACATAAAGCCTAAATATCTGATCGTCAGAATCTCAACGATTCTCTTCTTTCTGTTCGCAGAACTCCATAAGACACAACCTGTCGTTGCACAGTAGATTCATGCGTGTTCAGAACGAGGGTACAGGAAAGAGTTCCTGGTGGATGATAAACCGGGACGCGAAACCTGGAAAATCGTCACGCAGGAGGTAAGTTTGATTATTTTAAAAAAAGACACGTTCCTGGCATAGTGTACCACTGCCTCGACACAGGGCAATAACTATGGAAACGAGCAAATTTGAGAAACGACGCGGACGAGCGAGGAAGAAGATCGAGGCGCTAAGGAACGGCGGTCTACAAGCTGACGCGACGCCTAGTCCAAGTAACAGCGTCAACGAAGGGTTGGATTTATTTCCAGACAGTCCACTTCAACCCGGAAGTGGATTCCAGCTATCACCTGATTTCCGGTATGTCTCTAACCCACCATGTCTTCCTTAGAATGTTCAGCCTGGAAGAAAAGTTAAAACCTCGGCTGATGTCCTGGGGAAAATCTAGTGACAAAATTTTCGTGACTGAATTGTGGCTTCTTAGGACTCTTCAGATTTCTTAAACTGTTGTCCTAGCTTTAATCCTGATCAATATTCTTACTGAAACTGTATGTGCTGAGTTAGGTATCATATGATGTCATCAGGACGTTGAGTTTACTAGGTTGATATCTTATGAAGTCATCCAGGCTGGACAGGTTATATTATGGTCTTTTAGTCTAGTATTTCACACTTGACAAGTGCAAGGCTGAAATCGTCGTCAACCTAAACCTGCATTTTTAAAATACATTTTAACTTGTTCTTTTCTTTTTATTCGAGTCCTCGGGCTTCAAGCAACGCCTCATCCTGCGGTCGATTAAGTCCGATCCCATCAATTCCTGGGAAACCAGAGTGGACCTCACCGTACACACCCTCTTATAGCCCAGAACAATTAGGTATGCAGTTATGTTTCTTTTCACTATACTACTTTTTGCAGTAGGATAATTAACAATAGAACCAGATTCATCTATCAAATATTTGATTTACTATTATTTTTAATTTTTCTTAGAAAATTTTCGAGATTAAATTATAAATTTAATTATCATACTTTTATTTTTATTAAAATATGCATCATAGCCGGTAGCCTAGCGGAAGCGATGAAACTGGAGTCGTATCAAATGTATCATCATACGTCACCACCTAATCATACGCAACAGACTGGCCCACCCCCGTCCTATTACGAGACCCAATACCAGAGGAGCAATAGCCTCACCACCGGGTCGTCCTCGTTCGCGTTGCAGCCAACACCTCAATCAGCTAATCAGCAAAGATGCCCGATTCACGGTTTGCAACCGTGCGCCTGTCAAATGGTGAGTGGACAAAAGGGACAGGGACATGGTCTTCCTGAAAGAGAACAAAGTGAAGTCCTGGTGAAAAGGTCGACTTATTCTGATTAGAAATAAATCTAAATAAATTAATTCGAATCCCTTATTTTCTTGGTGTCTTTAATTAAAATAAAGATACCTGGTATAATTTACCTTGAAGGATGTTCCAGCCTGAAATATTAGTAATTTAATGATATATTCATGGAACTATTTGTTTTTTGTTTTCAAATTTTTAGAATTTAAGTCCAGTGGCTGGAATGTCACCGTCCTACCAACAGAGCGAACCCAGCCCCACAGCACTGGGCAACAGTCAACAGCAGACGCTCCAGTACATGATGCAGACGCAACAATGCCAACAATCACAGCAGCAGCAGCAACAGCAACAACAACAGCAACAGCAGCAGCAACAGTCTCAGACTGAAGGGACTGGATCCAGTCCACCTCAAACGCCCACACCCTGCGGACCCACGCCTAGCACGATGATGGGCCAGTTGATGGGTGCGCTGAATAATTCCAGCCTACTGGATGACTTGAACATCAACATCGAGTCGTTGCACGGTGGATTCGACTGCAATGTTGAAGAAGTGGGTTGCGTTGACATGGTCGAGCCCAGTTGGGTAGATCTAGCTCATCGGTTGAACAGGTTTAATACGATTCTGATTCGATCTGTTAGGTAATCAAACACGAGCTATCCATGGACGGTACGTTGGATTTTAATTTTCAACAAGGCGTGATGGGCACAGCAGCGATTCAAGTGAGCGATAGCAACGTGGGTCAGAACGGTGTTGTGACTCAGAACAACGTGGTCGTTGGCACTACGGCTGGAAACGCACCCGCAGGAGTTTACGTAAGCAGCAACGCGGCGACTCCTGCCGCACCTCCCTCGTGGGTTCACTAACAGTGGACCCCGCCACCCTCGACACCCCCGTAGTCCTTGCCATCGACGTCACTAGACGGAGAAGATTATTTCCACAGACCGTCCGAGGGACAGCTCATCGGTGAGTGAAAGTTTCGTTTCTCTGAAGGAACTTTGTGACTCGCGTTAATTAACCCTTTCCACTGTAGAAAAAATTTTTCTTTTTTTTTTTTTTTCTTTTTTAATAACCGCAGAAGAAGATTAGTATTTTTTGAGTCAATTTCTTGGGTCAATCGTGACCCAAACTTAAAAAATATGAACGAAAGTATTAATATGAAATGAAACAATAAGGTTTCATATGTTAGAAGACAAATTTTGAAAGAGACAGTGCAGAATTTAGAAAATGGAACGTGGCTCTCTTCCTGGTCCCTAGTTTGAGGGTTGAAAGGCTTATCAATTCCTAAAGTTTTATAGTCATTATTATTTTTACATATTAACACGTTCAAGCCCGGTACAGGTTCCTCAAGAGTATTACTGCTTTAAGTACGGGTAGATCTACTCAGGTAAGCCTGAACGTGTTAATTAAGCCACCTCACTATTACATATCTATTTTGATTAACTTGCAATATTTTTACCAACTAGTTAATTTATTGAATTACAAAGTACCTATTGAGATGTCTTGTTTTTTGCAATCGTTTTATTTTGCAGAAACAAATATTATATTGCATTAAATATTCTTTTGATTTATTGTATTTATAAACAATGCATGCAATTAATAATTTGTTATGTATTTAGTAATAATTTGAGCAATCAAGGACAGATTTTAAAATATTGTTTTTTTTGTTTTTTTTTTATTGAATAAATTACTTTCATAGGTTTAGTTTTAATACTATGAACGAATTTCAACTGAAATTTTCTACAGTCAAGGGGTTAAATATGTGAGAATGGTTAAATGTTTAGTGATCGTTTCTGCGTCGGAATTTTGTTAAATAATCACTTTTTGTATTATGAAATGTTCCACGCTGAAAGGATCAAAAGTATAACTTTATTCGTGGTGTTCCTTGATAGACGGTGCGTAATTAAATAATTTTTTTTTTATACATCAATCATCAAATCAAAAATTTTTTGTAAGTTTCACAGATCTTTCATTTATAAATAATCATAACTGCAGCACATCTTCCATGATCAATTATAAATATTTCATATGCAAACGTGATTGTTTCCAATAAATTGCACCATCTGTCATAAGCACAAAACAATAGCTAATTAAACTAAATGGAAGAGACAATATTTCGTCTATAAAAGTACGAGAACATAATTGTGCTGTTATAAATAATATAAATACATAGATTAAATAAAATATTAATAATACAAGTTCGTGTTCCTTATTAATGATAAAAATCTGAAACTTAACTCTTTCCAAATAATCCAAATAATCACAACACTATTTCAATTATCTTTTCCCAAAATTAATTTTTTAGTAAATTCTTTTAAATATGCAATAAATTGTAACGAATATTCAATCCATGTATTACAGTTAAATTATTCTTTATTTTAACAATTTTTCAATCATTTCTGATAATCTTCAGATTAAATCTAATATTTTTATTACGTTCCAAAATTATTGTAAATTTCTTTCCTATTTAAGCACACGTTGAATAAACAAAATTGAACATTACACAAATTCAACTAATGAAAGGTCGTCAAAAATAAAAAGGCGGGAATTTATTTCGAATGAAAGATACATATAAAAAAAAAAAATTTCTACAGAGATTTTAATTGCGAAAGTTGAATAAATATTTTGAAATTCATGTTCAATTAGGACGAGCGAACAAACACCGGCTCAGTGGGTTAATTTTCCATCGTATTTTTCTATCCGACGTTTTAGTAGAATCTCTATTGACCATGAGGAAAGAAAAAAGTATGCAGACACGGTTTCGGATAATATTGATTACCGTACATGCAAAATAATATTTGTACAACCCTGTAACAAAAATACCCATTGATACGGAGTATATAATAAATCGTTTCGCGCGTGCCCCACCACATTTATGTTTACGGCACAGGTATCAATCTGTTTTGGCCGAAATCGGTATTGACTTATGGGCGATAACAGTTACATATCCCTGGATTGTGTCGAAAACATTTGCTCAAAGAAAAACCATGAAAACAAGTGTTCAGATCGACGGTGTTCTCCGTATGGAAAAATATAGAAAGGGTATATTTAATCAATTAACACATACTATTGAGTTACCTGTGGATCATAACAATTTTATAAAAGATTTGATCAGTATGGTAATTAATGTAACAAAATCATTAATTTTTTTTTTCAATAATCTTAGACTTGCCTATTTCATTAGCTCCCTAATTAAATTAGACTCATTTGATCGAAAGTGTACAAGCAATGAAAATTACCATTGATATGAATTTATTGAATTGCAGTTTAAAAAAATCTCGGTTCGTGTACATGCATATTAATGAACACATTGTAGAAAAAAGAATAATTCAGGATTAATTTGGACATGTATTGATCGAGTGAAGATATTTGGAAAGAGTAGGTAATTCTGATTCGTGAAAATTGAGCGCTAATAAGTTGATTCGCGTTAATCGCACAGGGTTTTAAACGAGCACTCGTATAATTCCGAAAATCATGACACATTGGGGAGCTTACTATCGGCTCTGTTTTTTCCGTAACTCGTTTTCCTGATTACACACCGAAATTTGTTGCGAATTTGTTTTCGTTCCTCATTTATTTTCAGACACCATGGATACACCATAGGTTTTAATAAATCTTAAAGAATGCAGAAATTATATAGATATTAATTTTATATTGGAAAATTATTATTCGAATTTTTTTTAATTTATAGTAAAATCGGGGGTGGGGGTGAAAATATAAATAAATAATTTTTGAATTATTCATATTGTTTTTTTTTTTTTAATATCAACCAGATCTTAGAAAAGAAAATATGATTTTTAGGGTTTAACTTTTCTTTCCTTAATTGGAAAAACTTCTGATTTGCATAAATACGTGGTCGAGACGTGAAGTTTCATTTAAGGACAGAAAGTCCCGCGAAACGTTAAACGTTTCAATGAATCCCAAAAAAGGGGATTCATTGAAACGTAGCCGCGGGTGATTTTCATGCATACTGCATTAGGCATTATTAAAACAGTGCATTAATTTTCGGTCATCCGTTTGAAAGTTTTGCAGTTTCGAGGCAGCTTGTGTGCTTCTGTAATGTAATACAATTTTCGTGGAATGTATAATGCTTGTTTGACGCATACATTTTCTTATTTGTTGTGCATAGAAGGATCCTTGAATTTTCATAGAAAATTAATCATTGATTCTTAAAAAATTTTGATTATATTCACATTTGTTTCCAAAAATTTGCTGTTGAATTTCAGGATATTTTTAATATTTTGGGAAAGAATATTAAAATCAAATTGGAGATAATTATCTATGATAATATTTCAGAACTTATCAAAAAAGTATATTAAATGCTACAAATTAATTTTAATTTGCGATTACATCCCTAGATAAAAAATTTGTTGATAGATCATCAATTAATATAAGAAAAAGAATAATTAATATAATATCGTTGTGTAAAACATTTTCTTTTGATTGTTACTGTCTGATAAAAATGTGTTGATACGTAGAAAGCTGAAGCGCGTCATTGTTCGAACTCTTTTAGCCGATTCGCCAACGGGAGAGGCTACTTTGTTGCCTGTACGAACGCGGACAGTATTTACACGGACGAATATCGGGCCGGATAGATATTAGCTTTCAGCAAAATATTTTTCAGCGGTGGACGTGGCAAAAAAAAAGCACTACCCCTTCGTGATACCCCGACATATTAACGCCTCCGGCATTCCTACAATTTGTTCAACGCAACGAAACGCGAGTGCCGTTTCCCGTTAGTTCCGGATCGATGTTCTTCCATATTGTTTGCTGTTGTTTCAACGTTTTTTTTTTTTTCACTTCGACTTTGTAACCATTCCCAACGAATTATCAATTTACTCTTCTACTGGTAGACAAAGTTATCGGTTTTTAATTGCTTAGAACCATCCGTGTTCATAGGTAGAAACCACGGTGTGTTGTCCCCACCCCCGAAATGATCAAAATAAGCAGAAAAAACATTGCACAGTTTGGGAAATTTTATTTTATAAAAGTAAATAAACATGTGAAAATATAATAATGTTTTTTTGCCAGAGACAAATATTTTGTTTATATTAAGCAGCACTTGATTTGGAATAGATTGATTTTCAATTAAAATTTTCATTAATTAAAGAAATTATAAGGAATTATATTAAAATTTTTAAGTGTCACATTTTTCTAACATTAATAACCGATAGAAATTTGTCATTGATAAGAAATTTTGTCTGTGGGTGGTGGTTAAAATTAAATTAGAATTGTGGCTCTCTCCATGGTCCGTCGTCCGATAGATAATAGGCTGCTTTATAACACTGTCCACCACTGTGTCTAAGTTCCTCCATTATTAATCGATAGAAATCGTGGATAGGTGGTATGGAAGGTGTGCAGACGTTCAAGTGGGGCAAAAGGGAACCACTTAACCGAAACTGCAGGAGTCTGGATTCGGCAGACGTCACTGGCGCCAGCGGACTACCTTAAAACCTCCCCTTTATACCCCTGTCCCTGCACCAACAATCTCATTCCCCAAAAGTGTCGCAAGAATTATAAAGTTGGTGGAGGAGAGCTTCGGGGGTAGCTTCTTCCCTCGCAATCCACCCTTGTCAGGCAACCATCCCTCCTCTCTACTCCAACCTTCCCCCCTTCTGTCTCGTTTCTCGTCCTTCGCCTACGCGCCACCTCGACCTACCGACTCCGTTTCTCCTCTCTCACCAACCTTTCTTCCTTCCGTGTCTATCTTTGTCTCCACGTGCCTCATCCCCTTACATTCCTTCCTCTTTTTATCTTCCAATTTCTCGAACTTTCCAGCACCGGGATCAGTCGCCGCTTCGTTTTCGCCGGAGTTTCGGCTGTCCGTCGCGAATTACGCCCCCGCCGGGCCCGAAATCTGCTCACAGTTAAGGCGAAGACAAAGGAAGTTGTTCAATTAGACTCATGTATCCTGCGATTTCGAAATAATACTGGGATTCGAGGGAAGATGGGTGACTTCAACTGGT